CGCCTCGCCTCGCCTCGCCTCGCCTCCCCCCAGCCGCCGCGACCCGCCGCCGCCGCCTCGGCTAAGCACACGGAGAGGCAGAGACCGGGCGGGAGACGACTCGGCGGCAGCGCGCACGCGCCAGCCTGGAGGCCGGGCCACGAAGTCGGAGGGCTAGAGCGCCCCATGAGGGAGCGGAAGAGGAGTCTGTGACGGTTCGGCCGTCCCCTCCAGCTGGCTCCCGGTCTGGCTTTAGGGTGTTCGGTAGGCTGGGGGGACGCTCTGGGAAGGTGGCGCTTTTCTATTGCGTTTGAGCCGGTGGTCGGGGAGCGTGTGGCGCGGAGTTGCTCTCCTTAGGACCCGGGAGACGGTTTGGGCTCGCGGAACGTCCAGACGGGGGGAGGGGGGGTGCTGCATTTTTCTCCCCGAGGAAGAAACTTTAGTCTGCAAGCGCGTGTGCGGTGCTGCTCTTTAATCATGATTCGTGGCATAAACCACAGCTGACTGGTTTCACTAATAGCTGTAAATCATGGTCTACAACATTTGCGAAATTAAACAAATCACCGGACGGCTGAGCAGGATGTTCCAACGAGAATCAGACTGAAACTGCACTACGTGCCCTTACGCTCTTTCAACTTCCCCTGTTTACTTGGGCTATTTCTTGAGGATAAAACTAGAAACCAGGCAGTGCCATCTTAGACGTCAATTCAGAGCAAATACTTATTTGTTTATGCTTTTTAATAAACATGGTTAGTTGGAAAAGTTGGAGGAGGAGAACCGTGTTAGTCTATGGTGACAAAAAATCAGGACGAGTCTGGTAGCATCTTTCATCCTTGAGGGAGGGAGTGTTTAAGAGGCGCCGGTGCTTCCCCTCCTCAAGAAGCCATCACTGGATCCCACCATACTGGACAATTTTCGCCCAATCCCCCCTCCCCTCCCCTTTTTAGGGAAGGTGGCTGAGAAGGTGGTGGCGTTGCAGCTCCAGCGGATCCTGGAGGAAAGAGATTATCTGGACCCCTTCCGGTCAGGTTTCAGGCCCGGATTCGGGATGGAAATGGCATTGGTCACACTCATGGATGATCTTTGGTGGAAGCGGGATGGGGGTAGTACACCCATCCTTGCTCTTCTTGACCCCTCAGTGGCTTTCGATACCATCAGCCATGGTGTCCTTTTCGGTTGACTTGGAGAGTTGGGAGTGAGCACAGTTTTGTGCTGGTTCTCTTCCTTCCTCCAAAGTCGATCCCAATTGGTGTTGATTAGGAGCGAGAGGTCCAGCCCGCAGCCCCTCCTTTGTGGGGTGCCACAGGGTTTGGTACTTTCTCTGCTCCTTTTTAACACCTACATGAAACCACTGGGTGAGATCATTAATGAGGTATCATTAATATGCAGATGATACTCAATTATACATCTCGGTCCCAGATGACCTGAGTGATGCTGTGACCATCCTTTCACAGTGCCTGGAGGCTGTAGGGGTCTGGATGGGGAACAACAAGCTTCAGCTGAACCCCGGTAAGACGGGGTGGCTGTGGATTGGAGTTCCCTCTGTATCCAGGAATTTACCATCTTTGATTTTGGACAGGGTTGCACTACCCCAGACACATGCGGTCTGTAATCTGGGGGTCCTCCTGGACTCACAACTCCTGCTCAAGGAGCAGATGGCAGTTGTGGCCAGGAGGGCCTTCACCCACCTTCATGTGGTGCACCCTTCCTGCATCAGGAGGCTTTCCGGTCAGTCACTCATGCCCTGGTCATCTCTCGGTTAAACTATTGCAATGCACTCTACACAAGGCTACCCTTGAAGAGTATCTGGAAGCTACAGCTGTTCAAAATGTGGCCACGCGGACAATCTTGGGTGCCCCAAGGATGGCACATATAACACCTCTGCTGCAGGAGCTGCATTGGGTGCCAGTTTGCTTCTGGGTCCAATTCAAGGCGTTGGTTATCACTTTTAAAGCCCTACATGGCATGGGTCCAGGTTACCTGTGGGACCGTCTCACCCCCATTACATCAACCCGTCCCACCCAGACAGGCAGAGAGGGCATGTTGCGGACCCCGTCAGCGAGAGAATGTCGGCTGGCGGGGCCCAGGAGGAGAGCCTTCTCTCCCATTGCCCCCGCCCTTTGGCATATTCTCCCCCCATGAATTCTAGTCCTGCTTTAGGCACAAAGCCAGTTGGATGACCTCCACGCTCCAGGGTTTCCATGGAACCCTAGGGCTCCGTGGGAGGTCACTAGGGGTTCCCTGGGAGATCATGATTTATTTAAAAAATTATTTCAAATTTAGGCGGCGTGCTCTCGCAGTGATGAGCAGAGACCGAACAAAAATCTAGTTACAACTCTTTCTGAGTTTCTGGTAGCGCACTGTAGGACCATGTTTAGTTCGTTGAATCCATTCTTAATTTTTGACATGAGATGGGGAGACCGTTGATAACAGGTGAATGCTATATTGCAGGAAGGGAAGAATATATTGAAGAAAGGAGAGGGAATTTTTCAGGAAATTAATAGACTCATCCAACTTAGTCTGTGACGGCAGTCTCCCCCTCCCACATCTTTTCCCTGTGGTTTTCCTGTAGTTATTTTATCCTGTTATTTTAAATAAATTTCGTACATGTTTATTCAGTCATGTCTGAGGGTCCAATGTGGCGATTTTTTGAAGAGGAAGTGTGAGAGAGAAGAGGAGGATTCTAGATCAGACAATACCAATAAATTTAATAATGATAATGATAATGAAGAATTTAAATCTTCTCAGGTATTTCCCTGCACTGGTACATCAATGGACTCAAAAAAAAGTCCATCTTTACGATGAAAGCTATTTATCAATGGGTTTTACATGGACTGATGATCCAAGCTGTCCTATTCTGTTGTGCCTCAGCTGTGGCAAACAACTTACAAATGCAGCAAAACTCCAGCAAAATTAAAAAGACACTTAACTACAAATCACAGCCTTATGACAATAAAAGTTCTGATTATTTTAAACGGCTATTGGAATCACAGAACAAATAGAGTAAAAAAAATAAGAATAAAACAAACTGAATAGAAAAGCCCAAGAAGCAAGTTATTTAGTAGCAGAACTTATTACACAGCAAAGTAAAAGTCAGGCTTTGAGTGAGAAAGTAATCATGCCAGCATGTAAAATAATAGTGGGAAAAATGCTAGGACTAGATGCAGTACAAGAAATTGAAAAGATTCCACTGTCAAACGGTACAATAAGTCGCTGTACTAGTGACATGTCACAGGATGCTGAAGAGGTTTCGTGTGATAAACTGAAGAACAGCAGCTTTTCTATCCAAGCTGATGAGTCAACAGATTTCACCAATAAATGTCATGTTACAGCATTTGTAAGATGTGTAAATAATGGTGAAATTCAAGAAAACTTTTTCTGCTGCAAAGAAAGACATGAAACATGTAAAGGCCAAGATGTATTTAAAGTTTTGTCTTCATATCTGGAAACAAAAAGTCTGTCCTGGAGGAACTGTATTGGCATCTGTACTGATGGTGCTCCATCAATGGTTGGCTCCATGAGAGGCTTAATTTCTCTTGTAAGAAAAGGAAATCCTGATGTTGTCACAACACACTGCTTTCTTCACAGAGAGGTGCTGGTATCAAAACCTCTTGGAGATGAAATGAAAAAAGTTCTGGATGATGCTACAGCAATGGTTAACTTATTAAACAAAGACCAGTTCATTCAAGAATGTTCAAAAAAACTGTGTGAAAACCTGGACAAAGAGCACATAAGTCCCCTGTTACACACAGAAATCCGGTGGCTCAACAGAGGAAGAGTTCTCAACAGGGTGTTTGAGCCAAAGGCAGAGTTGCAAGAGTATTTTCGAGAAAATAATATTCTACATTTTGCTGAGTGCTTTGAAGATGGAGAATGGTTGCAGAAACTAGCATTGTTAGTGGACATCTTTCATCATATAAACCAGCTGAACAAGTCTCTGCAAGGCACCGGAGAAAATGTTTTGACTTCAAGTGACAGGATTCTTTAATTTAAAAGAAAACGGAAGGTTTGGAAAAATCATGTTGCAAAAAGAAATATTGAGTTTCCACTGCTGGTTGGGCTTGAGAGTGAGGAAAGATACCAGAAAGTCTCAAATGTAACTGAAAACCACCTGGAAGTACAGCAGAACAAAATTGATCAGTACTTTCAACACAAATGTATGACTGGGTGAGGGATCCTTTCTCTGCAACTTCTGCGCAGCCTGAGAACTTCACTTTGAAGGAAGAGGAGGAACTTTGTGAACAGCAGTCTGATCGTACACTCAAGATGAGATCCACGGATCTGCCCATGGACAAATTCTGGATTTCTGTGAAAGAAGAGTATCCTGCCATTCATAGGAAGGCATTGAACGTTTTGCTGCAGTTTGCAACTTCTTACATTCTTCTTATTTAGCAAACATCAAAAGCAAAGACAGAAATCATCTTATTTCAGTTGAAGATGAAATCTGTCTGTGCTTATCTCACATTTGGCCCAGAACTGAGTAGGCAGGCAGCAAAAAACAAGCACAGGTTTCACATTAAAGAAATAAGTTTCATTTTTTTAATTTTTAGTTTAAGAACACTGTTAATGCACATATACAGGCCTACACATGAAACGAATATGATCCTTTTGTAACTTCTGGCCTATATTTGAGCCTGAATGTGCAGGGGCCTGAAAAATATTTCAAGGGTTTCTCCAGGGTTCAAAGATTGAGAAAGGCTTCTCTGCTCCTATAAAAAGGCTTCTGTACTCCTATTAAAAAAAAAAATGCTTTCCCATTGTTCGGGTCCTTCTTTTTCGTAAAGCAGGCGCCCAAGGGATCATTGCAATAAACGCGGTTCCTCCTTCTCAGGGTTGTGCTCTGTACTTCTGAATTTTCCACAACACATTAAAAACA